CCTCCCTCCCTCCCATCTCCTTCCTTCCTCCCTCCTTCTCATCTCCTTCCTTCCTCCCTCCCTCCCATTTCCTCCCTTCCTCCCTCTCTCCCATCTCCCTTCTTCCTCCCTCCCATCTCCTTCCTTCCTTCCTTCCTTCCTTCCTTCCTTCCTTCCTTCCTTCCTTCCTTCCTTCCTTCCTTCCTCACACTCCTGTGCAAGAAAGCATGAAGGTGCCCAGGTTGACTAATTCTTGATTATGACTACACGTAGTCCTCAATTTACTGTCACAATTGGCACCAGAATATCCATTGCTATGCAAGGCAGTCATTAAGTGATCCACGGCTAACTGATAACATTTGTACCATGGTTAAGTGAGTCACTGCAGTCCTTAAGGGAATCATGTGACGGTTAAGCAAACCCAGCTTCTCCCGTTGACTTTGCTCGTCGGAAGCCGGCTGGGAAGGTCACATGGTGATGTTGATCACATGACCCCCCCGGGATGTTTCAAGCGTTATACATACACGCTGGGTGCCAAGCGCCTGAATTTTGATCACATGACCACGAGGACACTGTGATGGTTGTAACTGTGAGGACTGATTGTAAGTCCCTTTTTTCAGTGCTGTTGTAAGTTTGAATGGTTGCTAAACAAATAGTTGTAAGTCAAGGACTACCTGGATTTCTATGATATTTGAAACTATTTGTAAAATAGAGAACTACTTTTGAAAGTTAGAATTTGTCCGAAATGGTATAGGGTTTCCTGCCTGAACAGGGGGTTGGACTAGATGACCTCAAAGATCCCTTCCAACTTTATTATTATTATTATTATTATTATTATTATTATTATTATTATTATTATTATTATTATTATTATTATTATTATTATTATTATTATAGATTTGAGGTTTGGAGCAAGGCAAGTGCCTGAAGGTTGATGCCTCTAAGATTAGAAAAAGGCAATTATTGGATGCCTTTCTCCTCTTTTTTTACAAAAAAACATTGTAATTGCACACATAGGAAAGTCTTCTCAAATCCCTTCTCGTCTGATTCCAAAACACGACATTTACAAGCTGCAGAAGACTGCTTGGGTTTTGTATACACATCAACACAAACCAAATGGGAGTTTAACAAATGAAAAATGTAATGAAATGAAACATTGAAAAATGAGAAAACTGCAAAACACTTTCCCCCCCCTCATTAAAGTCAGAGTAAAGTATTGCTGGCTCCAGTGAATTTTAAAGGTCTTTTTTTGTAAACGTTCTGTCAACAACAGGGCGCACTCTTCTGATCCATTACAAAAACATTTTTTTTAACCAGGTTCACAAACCACAGAACTCAATGCATTTCATAAATAAATAGTCTTGTGTATCTATGATGGGTAAGTGAACATGGAAAATTGCAGTCTTATTTATTTTAAAATGCCCCCGTTTTCAATTACTTGCTCTGACGATTTGTATTCGTAGACAAGCACACAAGCATACAAGTATAACCAAATCTGGGTTCAAGAATTAATGCTTGCATTTTAAGCTCACTTGGGAAAAATCATGTCACATCAACACATCCTTCCATTTATTTTTATCGTGAGCTTTAACAAAAGGATGGGTGGGTGGGGGGAATGACTAAATCTAAGATCCAAACACAAAGTGGAAGGATTGTTGGTTGGAACCAGTAATGGTAAATAAGAATTGAAGGATCCTTGATGCTCTCTGATCTGGGTTGTTTCCTTACAATGTTTCATTACCCAACTAGATAGCATTATCAGTGCTAGAAGGGAGTGGGATGTGCTCTCTGTTTATATATTAGTGGTTTGCTCTTTCAGTTCCTTGATTAACTCAGAGAGCATCAAGGATCCCCCAGTCCTCGTCCTCGTCCTCGTCCTCCTCATCCTCGTCCTCGTCCTCCTCGTCCTCCTCCTCGTCCTCCTCCTCCTCGTCCTCCTTGTAAATCCCACTCTCGTCTAGCACTGATAATGTTACCTAGTTGGGTAATGAAACATCTGCAAGAAAAAACCAAGGTCAGAGACCACCAAGAACCCCACAGTCCTCCTCCTCCTCCTCTTCCTCCTCCTCCTCCTCCTCCTCCTCTTGGTAAATCCCTCTCCCTTCTAGCACTGATGATGTTACCTAGTTGGGCACTGAAACATCTGCAAGAAAACCACTAAGCTCAGAGACCACCATCAGATTTCCTGCCTGAGCGGGGGGGTTGGACTAGATGACCTGCATGGTCCCTTCCAACTTTATTATTATTATTATTATTATTATTATTATTATTATTATTATTATTATTATTATTGGCAGGTGTAGATGTTTGATGGTATTACAGATATCGTCGCAGGATGGAAGCAGTTCCTAGTAAGGCCGCCTTTTGCAATTGACTAATGGCGAATTTGTCAATGCCAATGGTGTTCAAGACGTGCTCCAGTTGTTTTGGGATTGCACCCAAGGCGCTTATTACTATTATTATTATTATTATTATTATTATTATTATTATTATTATTATTATTATTATTATTATTATTATTATTATTATTCCCACAGTCGTCCTCTTCCTCCTCCCCCCTCCCTGCAAACCTCACTCCCTTCTAGTCCTGATGATGTTACCTAGTTGGGTAATGAAACATATAACAGAATAACAGAGTTGAAAGGGACCTTGGAGATCTTCCAATCCAACCCCCTGCTCAAGTAGAAAACCCCCATACCATTTCAGACAAATGGCTGTCCAAAAACAACCAAGCCCAGAGAGCATCAAAGACCCCTCCTATAAATCCTGAGCTACAAATATCCTCCTTTATAAGTAAGAACTTGAAGACTTTTAACGGGGACTACGAACCTTCTCACCGTCCAGTCCATGTGCTCCATCACTTCCGTCTTTCCCAGGAATGCCCTGAAACAGGGAAACAGGATGAACAGGCAGAAAGAATGATTTATGGATGGAACATGAATGAATAAATAATTGTCTATCTGTGCCTGGCTGAGGAATTCTGGGAGTTGAAGTGCACCCATCTTAAAGTGGGCTTCAGGTTGCTGGCTGAAGAATTCTGGGATGTAAAGTCCACCTATCTTAAATTTGCCCAGGTTGAGAAAAACTGGCTTATGTTAAGGAATGGCTGCATTGATGATTGCGGTTGATCAGAGGTCTTCAAACTTGGCCCTTTTATGACTTGTGGACTTCAACTCCCAGAATTCCTCAGCCAGCGTGCCTGGCTGTTGACCCCTGGCAGTTGATGAACCCTCAGCTATAAATTTTGTTGGATGGTTTTTAGTGTTCTTCGATTATTGCATTGTTTTGGTGTTCTTACGTTATTTCTTAATTCTTTGTGATCCGCCTGGAGTCATATACAGTATTTGAGATGGGTGGACTATATAAATGAGAATAATAAGTAAAAGATTTGTATGAGCACAGCTAATGGGAGACTTAATTCCTTGCACAGAAAGAAAGGGCAAATATGCTGGCTCTGTAAACTGCTTAGAGAGGGCTGTAAAGCACTCTCTAAAGCGGTATATAAGTCTAACTGCTATTGCTGTTTAGCTATATAGGTAACTTCATACAACATACTACATTAAACTTAAATTGTAAATAGTCCAGAGTCGCTGAAAGGTGGGCAGGATATAAGTATAAGAGGTAGTCCTCGACTTACGACCTCAATCAAGCCCAAGTGAGGCATTGCTAAGTGAGGCATTTTTTTAACTCAACCCGCATGTTGTTTGAAGGAACTTGGCATAAAAATGGCTTACAGGTTCTCCTCGAGGGCCAACACTCCCGGGAGCTCCGTTTGAACCTGGTGGCCCCTAGAAAAAGAAAACAAGAGAATTTTCTAGAAAACATCAATCACAACCAAGGAAGACCTATCAAGTCCTTTAGCAAAGGCAGTGAATACAGATAGTCCTCGACTTACGACCGCAACTGAGCCCAAAATTTCTCTCGCTAAGCAAGACAGCTGCTAAGTGAATTTGCCCCGTTTTATGACCTTCCTTGCCACAGTTGTTAAGTGAATCATTTCAGTTAATGGCTTCCCCATTGACTCAGCTTATCAGAAGGTCGCAAAAGGGGATTCACATGACCTTGGGACACGGCAACCGTCATAAATATGAATCAGTTGCCAAGCGTCTGAATTTTGATCACGTGATCATGGGGATGTTATGGCGTTCATTAAGTATGAAAAATGGGCATGTCACTTTTTTTCAGCGCTGTTGTAACTTTGAATGGTCATTAAACAAATGGCTGTAAGTCGGGGACTATCTTTAGTGTAAACCAGGGGTAGGCAACCTTGGCTCTTTTATGACATGTGGACTTCAACTCCCAGAATTCCTGAGCCAGCCATTCTGAGGGAAAAGGGAGAGGTTTCCAAGCTGAACCATGCTGGCTCAGGAATTCTGGGAGTTGAAGTCCACGAGTCATAAAAGAGCCAAAGTTGCCTAACCCTGGTGTAAACTGAATTTTAAGATAAATTGGTTTGAATTATATTTTTTCTTTTTCTTCTCTTGCACTGCTAATTTCTGGGAGTACTTCTTTTTTGCCTTCTGCATAACATTGCTTATCTCTAAAGCGAGTAGAGGTTAGGTGCTTGTTAGGCACACAACTCAGACCACTTTAAACCACCACAACAACATACATATGGAAAGTAGGAATTTCATTATGCTTACCACATCACCTTTTGGCCCTCGGAAACCTTGATGGCCCCTATCACCGCGGGGCCCCTGAAATGGTTAAACAGAATCCATTACACATCAGTACTCCCTCTAGTACTGGTCAAGCTCTGATTTACACTGAAGTAAAACAATATTGTACTCTTAAGAGTGCTGAATCTTAATCGGTGCCCCCCCCCACTCAAAGCAACGTAGATGGAGAAAAAATGGGGTCTTTCCATCTTAGTATTTGGAGGAGATTCCAAGAGAAGAAGAATATCTGGAACTCAGAGCTGAACTATGTAGTTTGTGGTGCTCTACCATTGCAGACAAACGGTTGCCCAATTAAAAACCTCCAGTTTTGGACACCCACAACTTCTGGAGGCAAATCATTGCACTGATTAATTGTTCTCACTATCAGGAAGTTTCTCCTTAGTTCCAGGTTGCTTCTTTCCTTGGTTAGTTTCCATCCGTTGCTTCTTGTCCTGCCTTCAAGTGCTTTGGAGAATAGCTTGATTCCCTCTTCTTTGTGACAGCCCCTCAAATATTGGAATACTGCTATGTCATGTTTTGGATATAATATGGGCTCTTTGGGGGAAAAATGCAATATAAAAAGAAAACCTACCGCTTTTCCTGCAGGCCCTGGCATTCCAGGTTGCCCTCTGAATCCAATGTCCCCCTGAAATTAAAAAGACAGGATGATAAAATCTTTGCCCAACAGGGGAAAAAAAACTTAATATGTTAACAGAAAGGGACACAGATATTTTGTGTCCTTCCTGTAAAACAGGGGTCTTCAAACTTGGTCCTTTTAGGACTTATGGACTTCAACTCCCAGAATTCCTCAGCCAGCATGCATAGCTGAGGAATTCTGGGAGTTGAAGTCCACAAGTCCTAAAAGGGCCAGGTTTGAAGACCCCTGCTGTAAAAGAAGCCATTACTATTACTGTTGTTGTTGTTGTTGTTGTTACTGTTGTTATTATTGTTGTTGTTGCTGTTGTTGTTGTTGTTATTAATCATCGCACGGTCAGCCAAATGTTTAGACTGGGTTTGGCATTTTTGTCCATGTATTGAGTCCTTCCCAAGAACCTGGGATAGGCAGATGTGGATGTCTGATGGTGTTACAGATATCGTCGCAGGATGAAGCTGTTCCTAGTAAAGCTGCCTTTTGCAATTGACTGATGGTGAATTTGTCAATGCCGATGGTATTCAAGTGGTGCTCCAGTTGTTTTGGGAGTGCATCCAAATTACTATTGGTACTACCCTTGCTTGCCTTTGTCACAGTCATTCTATTTTGATTTGTAGGTTTTTGCATTTTGTAATCTTCTCCAGTTTTTTCCCTTCTATTCTGCTGTTTCCAGGTACTGTCAACAGCCACTATCCAGGCAGCTGTTAAGTCCAGGGTGTTATGTGGCAGGTGCCTGTCTATTTGAATTCTAAGAGCGATTTAACTTTCTTCTTCTTCTTCTTCTTCTTCCTCTTCTTCTTCTTCTTCTTCTTCTTCTTCTTCTTCTTCTTCTTCTTCTTCTTCTTCTTCTTCTTCTTCTTCTTCTTCTTCTTCTTCTTCTTCTTCTTCTTCTTCTTCTTCTTCTTCTTCTTCTTCTTCTTCTCCTTCTCCTTCTCCTTCTCCTTCTCCTTCTCCTTCTCCTTCTTCCTTTTTGCATATTCTTGGAGCCACTATTAATAGAAAATCTAATTAAAGAATTTCTAAAATATGTGCTACAGCCCAGGTTAGGTAAATACATAATCAGGGAGTTATTAATGGTGCTGCAATTAATTAATATGCTTCCATTGGAGCCATTAAAGCTGATTAATGTTCTGGCATGTACACACCAAAATGAAACTGTAGTTAACAAATCAGTGACCCAAGAGATAACTGTACATCCTGTGGAACCATTGCATGCTACCATATCAAAGCCTCATTACAGAATTTTTAATGGAGTAATTGTTCTGCCCTAACAGCTGATGGTTAGTTCAGGTGATGGGTCATGCAGATGAAGAATTAACAGAGTACAGTGGAAGTAGTCTGCTCTTCATTTAATAGTTTCATTTAATCAATGGAAAGTGCCACTAGAAGCCCAAGAACAGCATTCAGAAAAACATTAGACTGCTATTTGTTTCACCAAGATTGTTGGAGCAAAATGGAGAAGGACACATGTTGGTAGGAATGTGTGTTTCTTTCATAAAGCAGGGTGAAATGATTCACTGAGGTAATAATATTCAGGGGAGACATGACTGAGAATGCCCCCATAAGATATGAGTTCTCTTTCACATGTGCTAAATCATGCTTCTCATAAATATGGGCCAGAGTGACCAGGCTTGCTAAGAATTATGATAGAACTCAAGAAATATACATCCATAATAATTCCCCATCAAGCTTGAGGAAAGCTTTGAATAGAGTATCTTATGGTCTGTTCTAGGTTGTATGCTGCTATTTAATTTATAAATAATTCAAATGAAGGAGTAAAAATGTTATTTATCAGATTTTCAATTCACAGAGATGGGATGGGGAATAGTAAACTTTTAACAGACAGTGTCAAGATTCAGCATGAACTTGCTGGAAACCAGCAGAACCTCAATTCAACAAATGTGAAGCAATACATTTAGGTGGGAAAAAAATCAAAACATGAATATACATAAAGTGAACCAAATTGGGCAATACTATATATGAAAAGGATATAGATGTCTTGGTAGATCATACTACACGTGAATCAATGATAAGATGAAGCTCCCAAAAAGCAAATATCAACCTATGTTGTACCAACAGAAGCATGATGCTAAAATAGATGAGTCCTTGTTCTTTTCTATTCTACATTGGTTACATATCTAGAATATTATGTCTAATTCTGGGCACCATATTGTAGGAAGGATGTTGACAAAGTGGCTTATGTTCATAGGAGAGCAATTAAGATTATAAGTGTCTGGAAAGAAAAGCTTCTGAAAAACAGTTGGAAGCATTGGCTAAATTAGTTTAGCCTTCAGAGACATAATAACTGGCAGCTTGTGAGAAGCTGGCATGTGATACTAAGGACATAATTGTTCCAAAAGATGAGAAGAAATAGATTTAAAGTACAATGGAATAGATTTCATCTGGACATTAAAAGATAAAATGGCACAAACTTTTGAATAATGGAACAAGTGTCCTTAATAAGTATTGGACTCTCCATCATTGGAGAAACTGACACAAAAGAAGTGATGAAGTGTATTCTATATCCTTATAAAATTCATAGCTTAGGAAGCTAACTTGACTTCTCTAGAATAGCAGCAGAAAATACACTGCTATATGGAAATCTGTATATTTCAAGCAGTACAGCTATTGATAAACTTTAACACATCTGCAAGACTCTGCATTGGGGAAAGAAGCCGTAGGCAAGAGATTCTGGAAATAGTGCAAATAAGAGCAAGAGAGATGATTAGAGGGCTGGAAACATGAAGAAGGTTTGCAGAATTGGGTATGTCTAATTTGGGAATGTCTAGTCTAGTGAAAAAGAAGGACTAGGGGTAACGTGATAGCAGGGTTCCAATATTTCAGGGGTTGCCACAAAGAAGAGGGAGGTCAACCTATTTTCCAAATCACCAGGAGGCAAGACAAGAAGCAATGGATGGAAACTAATCAAGGAAAGAAGCAACCTAGAACTAGAGAGAAATTTTCTGACAGTGAGAACAATAAACCAGTGGAATGGCTTGCCTTCAGAAATTGTGGGTGCTCCATTACTGGAGGCTTTTTATAAGAGTTTGGACAGCCATTTGTCTGAAATGGTATAGGCTCTCCTGCTTGAGCAGGGGGTTGGACTGGAAGATCTCCAAGGTCCCTTCCAACTCTGTTATTCTATTATTCTAACTTGTGACTGTAAATATCATTCCACTGCATTGAGTGATGGAGATGTCCCAGTGCTGTCCTCAGGAGAGAATGACAACTGATAAGTCCAGTGGTAAATAAGACTAATGTTAAAGTTGGGTTGATTCAGTAATCTGTAAGTCTGATGAGGTAGACACAAGTCACAATATAATTCTCCTCCTCTTCCTCTTCCTCCTCCTCCTCCTCATCTTCCTCCTCTTCCCCCTTTTCCTCCCCTACTCCTTGATTTAATTAAATATAAGGAAATGGTAGATAAATGGCTGGACATATGTATATGTGAAATGTGTATTTTAAATATTTACATATTTAAATACTGTATTTAAAATATATTTTGAAATAACGCTTACTATATTTGTGCTTTAAGTATATTTTCATTTATCCTCACTGAAAAATATGTTCCTAAGTAATGAGTTGTATGTCATCTATTTATATATTGTAAATCTTGCAAAAGCCTGTAATATCCACTATGCAGGCCAATCAGGCAGATGACTAGCAGACAGCAACCATGAACACCAATTAGCAGTCAGAAAATATGATGAAAGATACTTAATTTCACAACATATAGACAGTCTTAAGCATAGTTTCAACTGGGAAACTATGAGCATCCTAAACCAAACCAAACTAAATGAAATAAATGGCTAGGCAATTCCTGAAAGTTTGACATTCAGACAAATCAGCCATCAGTAGACACATAGAGATAAACCATATTTACACACTATTCAAAAAAGTCAAATAAAAAATTAAGAAAAAAAAACCAAAAAGACCAGAACACATCTGCTAGATCAGGGGTCCCCAACCCCCATTCCATGGCCCATTGCTGGGCTGCAACCCATTTGGAGCCAGGCTGCAGAAGTGATGGGCGAATTTGCAGGTGAAACTGCATTTGTGAAAGCAGTGCTCGTATGCCCGCAAAACAATCCCACAAATTGGTTAGTGTATATAAATAGGAACGTTACCCTATTTAGCTAAATCTTAAAATCAAAGGGACAGTTTCAAACCAAATTGTAACTTTATTAAGCAACCTGGCTTCTGAATGAAGCAATCCCAATCAAATGGAGGATAGTTTTCAATTTTCCAGGAATTGTAAAAGCACCCCCAAATTTTAAGAAATCACAGAATTGTTTCCGTTTTGTGTGTCAGGACAGAGGAAATAGGAGAGGAAAGGGCTATAAGTGGACAAAAGCTACTTTATAATAACAGGGAAATAGATCCTGCATTCTGCACATTCTTTTTTCCACAATAAATAAGATTATATTAAAAAGGATGGTAAATGCCCCAGTGTAACTTAATGGATTGTTGCAAATGGCTATAGGAAAACAATGACAGAGCTAAAGGGAACTTTCTCAGAACATTTATTTAAATAATTGTCTTTTTTTAATAAATGGCCTTTAACTTTATCCAGAAAACAAACATATACGCCCACCCACACAAATAACATTTCTCACTAAACAGCTAAATGGAGAATTAATTAATCCTTCTTTTTACAATTTCGAAAGACATTTTTTTCATCTTATTTTTTAAAAAATCACCATACCCCTATGAAACTTAGTAGCATTCTTCCTTGCAAGAGGGCCAAGACAAGCTTGCCAAAAATCACCCAATTTGATTCATGTGAGCAAAATTACAGATACATTACTACTTAAAACAACAATGGAATTTAAGCAATCTAATTCCAAACCCCCTGCACTTCTTTTTTTCAGAAATCAGACAGTAATAATCCTCTCAGAATTATATATTATTTCTTCAAATTTCATCTCACTCAGTTGCAAAATAAATTTAGGCATACTTGTGTTTTTCCCACCAATGGGAAACACACTTGCTTTGAGCAAGTGGAGTATTGATTTGCCACGTGAGCAAAATCATTTTATTTGCATTTAATTTTTGGTGGGTTAAATTATTCAGATGAACGGTTTGTCTTGAGACAATATGGTTTTGCGATGGAAGAATGTGCTGTTATTCATTTCTGATTTCTGCCAGGCCAGGAACCAATATATTTTTTCTCCAAAAAATCAGGTTGGCTTTATTTTTCAAAAGTGCATGAATGTCTATATGTGTAAATCTGGGAGACAGAAGAGATCGGGTCATTATTCTTTATCTTTGAATGTTAGATGCTACTTGACTTTGACATCAGGGTTGACTAATGCATCTGGCTGATAGTTTTCATCCTTAGACTGAAACATAGCCTTTTTTATTTATATTTATTTAGGTGACACTCAACTCACACCCAACTCATTTCTAGTCTTCTGCTCCCCATTCTCTCATATTGTAATTTTTTAAAAAATTTTGCTATATCTTACCTGGTGTAGAGTTCTAAAGAACTTACACATCCTCATTTTGGCTATTTGATTGAGCTTTGACTTCACAATGTCTCACAGAGTTATCCAGAATTGACTCTGTTTCTTTATTTTTGCTTTTTGGGATGGGGGTGCCCTGGAAGTTTTTGGCGCAGGGAGGCCCTGATTGAAAAAGATCATGGTTAACTTCCTTAGGTGTTTCTGCAGGCTTCTGTTTCTTGTTTAGCAGCCAAACTAAATAAGGACTGGAATGCAAGGCATGATGTGTGTGGTTAAGGCACAGATTTTGGCTGTATCCTGAAGGGGAATGTAACAAGGAAGAAAAAGGAATATATAAGGCTCCTAAATACTTTGAACTTTCATCTTTCTGCATCTCTCTGCAGCACCATCCTAAAATTGTATGCAATATTATTTTTGATCTATTCGAAGGTTGGAACTTTCCATAGATAAACTCCTGTTTGACAGAATGTAGACACCGCAGCAGATTTGAAGGCATGTGGGGGAGAAAAAAGAAAGAATGTTAAGCAAATCCATGTGTCAGGGAAAGCAAGATGGAGGCCCACAACAGAACGTTGTCTGCACAAACTACTTTTTATCTCACTCTGTTATGCTTATGGTTCAAAAGGTCTATCTTCCATCCTGACACTGCTTTTCACCATACAGAGGGGTTCTTTTATTTAGTCTGGAAATAAGCCAAATATCTTGGATAGAAATTAGCAAAAAAATAAAAATAAAAATCCATTTCCACCATCCTCAATCCTGCAACTACTCTGGGCACCTATTTCCCATTAACTTCTTTATGCTAAGGATTTTTTTTATCTGGGTTGAAAAATGATGCCATCATAACTGAACTGGGACCATACTGGTAAATATTACATATCAATTTATCAGGGGAAATGGTTCCCTCAACTTAAACCAGGGTTGTAGAAAAGCAAAAACTGGTGATGCTTTAATTCCAAAACACAAACAAGGAGCTACACACCAGTCTCTGCACTGAAATCCATGTTAATTATTTCATTTTGGGTAATTAGCAAATTATAAACCTGTGTTGTTTTATTATTAATCCCATGAGATGGGATTTCTCATACCAGAAGAATGTTTGCTTGGATATTTCTTATTATTATATTCACTACCAAAGTTCTGTACCAGTTGTCCTTGACTTATGACCTATTACTTAGCAACTGTTTGAAGTTACTACAGATCCCCCCCAAATCTGCTTTTGAAGTCCCCACATCACCTCCTTTATAGTCACGTGACTGCATTTGGGGTGCTTGGCAACTGGCCCACATTTATAACCATTTATAACCATTTGCAGCACTCAGCATTTTACAACATTTTTGCTGGAAATAAGTGTTTACTTATGGTTTCAGGCAAAAACTACCCAAAAGCAGAGCCTCCTCAATGACAGAGGTGAAAAAGGCCGTAAAATTGGGTCCAGTCACATCATGATCACCTTATGATCACCTAGGACTGTAACTGCCAGACTCAAGTATTGATGCAGCTCCAGGACTACCTGTAAATAAATACAAATATTCATTTTTTCAGTAATTTCCATCAAAATGTAGAACTCAGTGTTGAGAAGGATTGTTATGGCTGCTGACCATTGGTGTGCAGTATATGAGTTATTCTCTCTAGAACTCTTCAAAAAATGTAGGGACACATAAAAGCCCTTCTCTTTCATCAAAGCATAAAAGAAACAGTTCACACGCAAGAAAATAAAGGTAATAATAATAATAATAATAATAATAATAATAATAATAATAATAATAATAATAATAATAATAATAATAATAATAATAATAATAATAATAATAATAATAAAAAAGTTGGAAGGGACCTTGGAGGTCATCTATTCCAACTCCCTCCTCAGGCAGGAAACCCTATAGCATTTCAGACAAATGGTTGTCCAGTCTCTTCTTAAAAACTTCCAGTGTTGGAACATTCACCGCTTCTGGAGGCAGGTTGTTCCACTGATTAATTGTTCTAACTGTCAGGAAGTTTCTCCTTAGTTCTAGATTGCTTCTCTCCTTGGTTAGTTTCCATCCGTTGCTTCTTGTCCTGCCTTCAGGCACTTTGGAAAATATCTTGATTCCCTCTTCTTTGTGGCAGCCCCTGAGATATTGGAACACTGCTATCATGTCCCCCCTCGTCCTTCTCTTCATTAAACTAGACATACCCAATTCCAGCAACCGTTCCTTATATGTTTTAGCCTCCAGTCCCCTAATCATCTTTGTTGCTCTCCTCTGTACTCTTTCTAGAGTCTCAACATCTTTTTTACATTGTGGTGACCAAAACTGGATGCAGTAATAAAATTAGTACGTTTGTCAAGAAGTGACTAGTCAGCATTTTAAAAAAAATCATAGAGTGAACAAAATCCCTTTGTGTGTGTGCAAAAAACGCAAAATGTAACCTTATGAGACCAAAGCATACAAGAGAAATGAACACATTGTTCCATGCACGTGTTTAGAAATACTAATCATTTTTAATCATTTAGAAATAATAATTCCACTGCTGATACCTTTTCCTATAGGACAGATCCAATAATTGCTGCTAAATACATGTTTCTATTTAGCCATTGGTTTTCCCTGCTCATTGGGTGTGGAATTGTTATTCCACCACAAAGATTGCCAACCAGCTCAAAAAAATGATTACCTGAAGGTAGTGTGCTGTTTGCTTTTTCCAAGAGCGCCCCAAAGCATTTCATGTCCTTTTACTGCAATTAACAGCTGATTAAAAATCCAGGCGTTAATCTGCTGTAAATGAATGAGTCAATCATCATGATTAATCAATTTTCTTTCAACTCTAATTTACCTTTTGCGATGGTCTGAGAGCTAACCTAGGGAAAAGAAAAGAGTGGATATTTTCATTTAAGTGAACAGGAATCATTACTGGTTTCAGTTTTTGTTTTTTGCAAACAACTTAATGATATATGAATAACTGCCATTCTTAAGTTGCCTGCAAAAAAACCCAAAACTAAAACTAAAACCAATAATGATTCCTATTCAGTTAAATTCTCTCTCTCTCTCTCTCTCTCTCTCTCTCTCTCTCTCTCTTTGTGTGTGTCTGTGTGTGCATATAACAAAATATTCCAAGATTTTCTACTGAGTTCTGTAACATTTTTTGCATAAGATTTCACATCTTAGAGAAGCCTAGAAAAGCATGAATGTGTGACTTAAAAATGTAGAATCTGAGGATGTACTTCTGAAAGTAAACTCCAATTATTTGATAGACAGCTCCTGCTCCAAACAATTGCATTAGTATTCTGCTGATTGTTTCATCTATTTTATACATCTGTTCCCTTCGTCTTTTCAGTAATATCTATTGACTGGTGATGCTTGTTTATTTTGGGTTGTAAGAAAAGAGACAAGAAAATAATGGCAAGTATGTCAACTGGCTCAATCCCATTTGCTTAGTGAAGTCTTATTTTTTGTGCAACTATTTACAAGTAAAGATCAACTGGATTTAACAGTGCTTATTTCAGATCCTATATACTTAAAATGGGGAAAATGATATAGATTTTAACTAATATATTGACAATGAGCTTAATGATTGAGAAAAAAACACTACTGTTTGCTCTAATACTATTAGTATAAACTAATCTTTAATCTCATTTTGCAATCTATCCCAGATTTACAATACCCATATCATTGTAGCCTAAACTTAAGGTATTATGAACACAAGTAATCATATTAGGGGACTGAAGGCTAAAACATATAAGGAACGATTGCTTGAATTGGGTATGTCTAGTTTAATGAAGAGAAGAACGAGGGGGGATATGATAGCAGTGTTCTAATATCTCAGGGGCTGCCACAAAGAAGAGGGAGTCAAGCTATTCTCCAAAGTGCCTGAAGGCAGGACAAAAAGCAACGGATGGAAACTAATCAAGGAGAGAAGCAACCTAGAACTAAGGAGAAACTTCCTGACAGTTAGAACAATTAACCAATGGAACAATCTGCCTCTAGAAGCTGTGAATGCTCCAACACTGGAAGTTTTTAAGAAGAGACTGGACAGCCATTTGTCCGAAATGGTGTAGGGTTTCCTGCCTTAGCAGGGGCTTGGACTCAATGACCTCCAAGGTCCCTTCCAACTTTATTATTATTATTATTATTATTGCTGTTGTTGTTGTTGTTGGTTGGATTCAGTGATTTTGAAGAAAAGGGGCTCTATTCAGGACAGGGCTTTCCAACTTAGTGTGGAAGTCAACTTTGTTTTGAAGGAATATTACAATGGGAGAGAGTCTTAACTGCTATAGCAAGAGTGTCAATAGACCTTAAACTATGACTTCTATAACAAAAAAATAATAATATTCAGAATGTATTGAACTTCATTATGCCTTTACTGAAAAGGATTATCAGAACAGCATCCTGTTAGTGATATAAGAAGGACGGTGCTTCCATAAAACATATGTCATATAATGTGCTACACTTATTAGGTTTGGTTGAAAGTAGTGAACTATATAAATGTAACTATACAACAAAAAGCTGACATTTTCAGGGGATAATATTCTCTGTTATTTTAAAAGCAATAAAATTATTTTTAAAGGCTTTGTTTTGAAGTAATGTTCATTTGTATCAGAAGACAAAAAAAATTTAATCACATAAATTCACCAATTCAGAGCATAAATCCACCCAGGTACATTCCCTGATGGTGCATCCACAATAAGGAAAAATAAATAAAAACAGATGAATAAAGAACAACAAGCAACAAATAAGACAAATTAAAATAAATGAACCAACAATGTATACCTATCTTTTAAATGTTTGGTTTATGTTAGTTTTGTAGAGTAGCAGCAGACATTTTAAATTATAGAGATTTTAGGAATAAAATAGGAAAAAGAATGAAAATATGGGGAAAAAAGAGAAAATATTGCAAAGAAGTAGCTTCAGATCTTCTTAAGAGATTACAAATGCATTTATATTTTGCCTGCTCTCTATATCTTTTATATTACACCAGAACCTCCTTCTTCCCATAGTGTACCCTTCTTAGGCCACAACAGCTACAGTACACAAAGGTCTGGCTTTAATTGTCAAAACTCAGTA